CTACTGTAAGCACCTACCGCAGATATGTCTGCATACCTAATTTCATGTGACTGATGGTTGTGAAATTATAGCTGATAAAAATTTCCACGCCTATGGGATGTGCCACGCCCCCTTTTACAAACCCCTTTATATGTACTTTACTGTAAGCACCTACCATAGTTATGTCTGCAAACCAAATTTCAAGTTCATGTGGCTTATAGTTCCGGAGTTCTAACTGATAAAATATTCCTATGGGATGTGCCACGCCCACTTTTACAACCTCATTCATATATACCCTACTATAAGCACCTACCATATGTATGACTGAATAACAAATTTCAAGTTCATATGACTTATAGTTTCGGATTTATAGCTGATAAAATATTCCACGCCTATTGGATGTGCCACGCCCACTTCTACAAACTCATTTATTTATACCATACTATAAGCACCTACCATATATATGAGTGTATACCAAATTTCAAGTTCATGTGACTTATGGTTCCGAAGTTATGATTGATAACAAATTTCACGCCTATGGGATGTGCCACGCCCAATTTTACAAAGTCATTTATATATACTCTACTGTAAACACCTACCATATATAGGACTGCATACCAACTTTCAAGTTCATGTGACTTATAGTTTCGAAGTTATGGCTGATTAAAAATTTCACGCCTATGGTAGGTGCCACGCCCATTTGTCGAATCCCAATTTTTTACCCTATTATAGGCCCAGGTGTCATGGCAATACTATATCAAAATTTTGTTCGATTCTGACCGTCCGTTTAGGCTGCAACCTGCCAGACATTTCATTTTTATATATATAGATACCCAAACATGATTTTTGTGGTGAACTTTTGAGGTACTTAATCCCCATTGATTTTCATGAAACTCATATCCAAAGAAATAGGAGTTGGCGTAGATGTGCCCAATTTAGTTTTTAACCCTCTAAGAGCCACTTTGAGCAAAATATTGAAAAAAAACACTATTTACAGTCCTGATTGGTACAAGTTCAGCCCGGATGTCAGCTACAGAAGCAACATGACATCTTATATATTAATGCGCAAGCATGATTTTTGTGGTGCACTTTTGAGGTACTTAATCCCTATTGATTTTCATGAAACTCATATCAAAAGAAAGAGGAGTTGGGGTAGATGTGCCGAATTTAGTTGTTAACCCTCTAAGAGCCACTTTGAGCAAGATATTTAAAAAAAAAACTATTTACAGTCCTGATTGGTACAAGTTCAGCCCGAATGTGAGCTAGAGAAGCAACATGACATCTTATATATTAATGCGCAAGCATGATTTTTGTGGTAAACTTTTGAGGTACTTAATCCCCATTGATTTTCATGAAACTCATATCAAAAGAAAGAGGAGTTGGTGTAGATGAGCCGAATTTAGTTTTTATCCGTCTAAGAGCCACTTTGAGCAAGATATTTAAAAAAAAAACTATTTACAGTCCTGATTGGTACAAGTTCAGCCCGAATGTGAGCTAGAGAAGCAACATGACATCTTATATATTAATGCGCAAACATGATTTTTGTGGTGCACTTTTGAGGTACTTAATCCCCATTGATTTTCAAAAAACTCATATTAAAAGAAAGAGGAGGTTGTGTAGATGTGCCGAGTTTAGTTTTTAACCCTCTAAAAGCCACTTTGAGCAAGGTATTAAAAAAAATCTATTTACAGTCCAGATTGGGACAAGTTCAGCCCGAATATCAGTTAGAGAAGCAACATGATTTTTGTGGTACACTGTTGAGGTACTTTAAATCTCCGCTTCGGTTTCACCCAATGAGCCTACTCTTCGGAGTATATCGTACGCATTCCCATGTTGGATCATAGTCTGCCCAAATACGGCTTTATATGGTTCCATATTAATCGCTTCGTGAATTGAGCTACGAAGCGCGAAAGCCGCTTCTGAGACGTACTGGTCCCAATTACGGTTATCTCCCCCATTCAAATACGTTCGGATTATGGCAAGCAGGTATCGGTTCACCCGCTCCGATGCGTTGGCCTGTGGAGCGTAAGGCGCGGTCCTGACATGTTTAACACCATACCCTTGTAAAAACTTCGCAAAGCATTCGGACGTAAACGTGAAATATTTCCGTTTCCAGATATCTTGTCACCTCCTGCGCTGTGGCGTGGCGCACTGTTTTAAAAAAGACAAATTTAGGCTGATGATCTACTACCACAAAGACATAAGCATTTCCCAAGCGGGAACGCGGATATGGTCCACAAAAATCTATGTACAGTCGTTGAAATATTCTTTCCGATTGAAAACGACCCTTTATCGGCGGGCGCGAAATAATGTTCGGGGACTTAGAGCATTTGCAAAGCTCGCACTCGGTAATGAACTTCCTCACATATCCCACCATGCCTGGCCAATAATACCAAGCTCTGAATCTGTACAGTGTTTTGGCGATTCCTCCATGGCCTGCGGACCTTTTGCAATGCATCTCTCTAATGAGCGGTTCTCTCAGACCTTCCGGAACCCAAATTTTCCATAGAGACTCCTCCATCCAAAAGCCTAGGAAGAACCCTTTTTATATAACGCCGTCTGCAACACGTAGATCTGGCAACCGATTGGTGTTTTCGTTGACACGCCGTTTCAGGGACGCATATGCCTCGCTCGAAAACTCCGCTGAGTTCGGGTCCAGCCTAGGTACCATTTCTTGAACCACGAGGTCCTTCTGCCCCATCAACCACTTGAGGCTCATGTGGTCGGTAATGATGGTGAACGGTAGGCCCTCTATGTATGCGCGAAATTTCTGCACGCTGACAACTGCCGCCAGACACTTCAACTCCGTGATAGTGTAGTTCCGCTGCGCGGAATTCAGTTTCTGCGACATGAAAGCGATGGGCCTTTCGTTCCCTTCCTCATCCTTTTGAAATAGGACGCTTCCAATGCCTTGCGTTGAAGCATCGCACGGAATGAAGAAGTGCTTCTCGAAGTCCGGGTTTACCAGTACATCCGTAGAGATCAGCGCTTTCTTTAACTCTGCGAAAGCTTGTATGGCCTCCTCGGTCATCGCCAATGCCATTCTCTTTCGCATGCAATCCGTTAGCGGTGCGGCCGTCATGGCGAAGTTGGGTATAAACCGCCTATACCACCCGCACATTCCCAAAAATCGTCGTAGCTGTTTGATGGTTATTGGTACTGGGAAGTCGAGCATGGACTGGATTTTTGCTTGGTCGGTTTTCAACTGACCTTGTCCCACAATAAAACCGAGGTACTTCAGTTCCTTTTGGCAAAATTTCGACTACTCCAAGTTAATCGTGAGGCCCGCGCCTGCAAGACATTCGGCTACTTCCGCCAAGTGCACTAGATGAGAGTCAAAATCCGGGGAACAGATCAACAGATCATCTATGTAAACGAATACATGCTCTCGTAACCGAGAAGAGATGACCTTATCCATTAGTCTACAAAGTCTCTGGCTGGCGTTGCACAGTCCGAACGGCATCACTTTAAACTGGTACAACGGCCGGCCAGGGACTGTAAATGCGGTTTTTTCCCTAGATGAGCTCTCCAAAGGGATTTGCCAAAAGGCATCCTTCAGGTCAATTCCCGAGATAAAGTAGGTTTCCCTCAGCCGTGATAAGATTCCTTCCACATGTTGCGTCGGATATGCATCCCTTTTAGTGCTCTCATTTAGTTTACGCATGTCCACACACAAGCGTTTCTTTCCCGGCTTCTCAACCAGAACGATTGGCGAACTCCAGGAGCTATTGCTCTCCTCAATGACGTCAAGCTTCAGCATACGGTCAATCTCGTCATAGGCATACTTTTTTTTAATAGGGGACATTGGATAATGTCTCTGTTTTATGGGAATCGTATCATCGAATACTTCGATGAGGTGTTCCATGACATGTGTCCTCCCCAGGCCGAGCTCCGTAAAAGATGGAAATAGCTTTTTCACGCGATCCAGCCTTCTAAGGTCTGCTTCTGCGAGGTCAATTTGGTTCGGGTCCCTGATATCGAGTTCGGAAACTACTGCCGAAAGCATCCCAAAAATCAATTCCCAGGTAGAGATCCTGTTGAAGACTTGGCACTAAATACAGCACCATCTCTACCGTTTTGCCGCGCCAGCTAACCATAACGTTGACCTTGCCTACTACAGCCTGCGTTTTACCGTCCGCAGTCTTCAAACTCTTGTTCATCGTATGTACCTTGTCTTTCAGTCTGTCTGCCCAAGCGCTCGAGATAGATCCAAAGCAACTTATCGAAGCCCCGCTGTCCAATAATCCTTGCACCTGAAAACCGTCTACGTCTACCCTAACGTAAGGCCGTTTGTCTATCCCTCCTCGAATCACGGTCTCTTCAATCGCCTTCATTTCCTTCTTTTTGTCTCGCGAGAGTTTTCTAATTTTTTAAATTTCTTCCAAATCCTGCTATGTTCTGCTTTGGGCACGTCTATATGTGAGCCAGATCCACTTCCAAATATTCGCTTCTTGGCGCCGTCGTATCTCTGCTGCCTCTCCTGCAGCGAAAGTAACGGTGTTACATTTCGCTCCCCCCCTCGCATCGCTCGTCGTTTGGAGTATCATCAGAGGTTTTATGCTTCGGGGGTCTGGCGCCATTGGCAAGGCTCCCCGGTTTTCCCGCCAATATCTCGGTTTTCCTGCTTGTGATCTTCACACCAAGTGCATTGCATGCTAGGACGATTGCATTTATAGCAAACCATACGATGCAGTTTGCCGTCGCAGGTGCTGGATTTTACGCACCCCGGCTCGTCGATCGCCTTCTTAGGTCCCGCATCTCTGAGTGGATCTCTTTGTGTGAATTTCTTGGCCGGTCCGCACAATGCCTCTACTGTATCAGGATCTTCCTCGGCTGGTTCGGTCTCCAACTCTTCCACAGTCTTCCTGCGAAACGTCTTCGGCTCAAACTCCGAAAGGTGTTTTTCAGCCCGACGGCATTCCGATCTGAGGCCTTCTAGAGTGTCTATCCGGCATCCGAAAATTAAGTTTTTGATTCGAGGTCTAAGGTTTCTTCGGATGAGATTTACTAAGCTACGTTCAGGCATTTTCGTTCTCATCGTCAGCTCCATACCTCTAACCGCCGCATAGAATTCGTCAAATTTCTCGTTATAATCCTGTTTCCGATCGTTCATGGCTTGCCGCTTCTCTTCGTCACAGTCCGCCTTCCGGAAGTGTTCCACGATAGAGCAACTTAAGGTTCCAGTTACGAACAACTTTTGTTGCACCCCTCTCGAAACAGAAAGCTCGACTCACGTTTGCGCTCTGTGGAAGTCATCGTGAGCTTTTTTTTCGCCCCTGTTGTGGCATCTGCCAGGAATGCGATCTTCCTCGATTGATCCAGTGTCATCGGCATCCATTTCTGAATACCAGTCTCTACGACTCGCAGCTGTTCGCTCGCGAATGTTCCCACTTTCCAAGCTGGACAACCTGTCTGCAAGCCCGTTCATATCTTTTCGCAGTGTTTGAATCACTCCTTTGACCGCGTCCGTCGTTGAGCGGCTTACATCCATTTGGTATTGAAAGAACATGAGCTCAAACTTCCGCAATAGCTCTTTTCCCATTGCATCCAACGCCACGGTCTTAGGACTCTGCTTATCCGCCTGAACTCCTCCCTTACTCGCTGTAGCCATATCCGACTCTTGCTCATCCGGAACGCTTCCTGCTTGCGTGCCCTGATCGTCATGTCCAATATCTTCTTCCCTAATTTCAATAGCAGTCTGCTCTGCTGGAGCATCGCTCCTGAGCCCCACCCTCGTCTTTGACGGATTCGTCATTTTGCACAACGCACCCACCAAAAAAAAAATCGTATTTAAATGTATAGAAAAGGAATAATGTGTATGTAATTTCTGGAAGAATTAAATATCGTAGCGTAAAAAGCTAGCCTAAATGTTAAATTTAGAAGGAAATATGTAATATATATCAAATGTTGAAATGTAGCGTGAAGTTGTGAATTTGATTTCCAGATGTGACGCCTGTTCACCTAACGTTGTCCACCAACTTACTGTCCAAAACAAATAGAGTTAATTCACGACACTGCAGTCCGACAGATCCCTTTTGTCTAAACTGGATATCGTTAGCCTCCCACCTAAGCAAAAATATGTTAACGCTGCAGACAAATGTCCAGCTAAGATATCTCAATAGCTCCCCCGGTTACAACCCGGTCCCGATACATTCGTCCGGTCTAAATATGGCTGAACGAGCTACCTGTTAACCCGATCCAAACTAAACTTTGACGGCATTTGACCCCTGCCACAACTGTCCAGCTGTGAGTCAGCCAAGCAAGCTGCCAGTAGCCTAACCATCAATTCTTCATGACCACAACTACGCATCGACACATTTGGTTGGCGCGAAACTCTGTCCACTCAAGATACCAAATCAAAAATTTTAATAAATTATGTGGTGTTCCCCACCTGTGTCCGAAAATTATTTATTAAGGAGCACCACTTCGCTGTGGGCCCCACGTTGGGCGCCATTTTGTTACGTACGGGTTGCCAGATGCCACGCCTCCTTCCTTTCAACGCGAAGATCTCCTCACTCTGCGCCCGCATCCACCCACATGCTCGGTTCGCCACGGGGTACGCTTGCTTTTAGCACGAGCTAGCTCGTCGGACTGTGGGTTGCTGTGACCACCGCTGCATGGAACCGCACCATACAAAAACTCGTACCCCTCTTCTGTTTGATAGGGACACCACATACCCACCCTTAATTATTCCCCTCACCCCTACCTTGACCCCATTCAAAGGCTCTGGCTGCCACTGGTGTTATATGGCCGGCGATCATCTTCCCTCCCTACCATGGTCGACAGTGGCCAGAATCGTTGTCGACCCCGAACTATAAGCCGCGTGTCGCCTACGCCTTCATTCTATCCCGCCCATCGTCCAATGTCCGTCCGTCCACACGCCCACATCTGGAATCAATTTTCACACGTTAATTCGATTAACAATCCATAATCAATTTATTCACACAATCGTTTACTCACTACACATTGTTCTTAAACTATGTATGCCTGTACATATATGACCTGTTCAACCGGCCTCGTCTTAGATAACTAGTGCAATTATATACATGAAAAATTTAATTCAAACGAAGTATATGGGTTTTTCGCTTAATCTCACTCAACCTCGGAAGCAATATACGCATTCAATGGAAATATTAACGCGATAGAACGCAAAACGGTTAGATGAACCTGTTCGGAGACCGCAGGGGTGTTTGGCGGCAAAATTCGCCCCACTCAGCCTACCACCTACAAGACGTCTTGTGCGGTCGTGCCAAGCTAATCTAGTTTGTTCACCCTACCAATCCCCTCCACCTGCTCTTCTAACTTATACCCGGACTCTCAGCAAAAGCAATTCGTAAATTCGTATGTGTGAGATTGCGCGACTAATCCTGATTAACAAACCTAGCGAACTAGGCTATGAACTACCTCAACGAATAACAAATTGGATGAATTAGGAAAATAAAACGTTATCAAGAAAACTTAAGCTACTTTACGTCGTCGTTGAACTTAAGGAGTATCGCCTTAGGATTAAGTTGTTTTATAATGGTTGATGATGATCGGAATATAATAACCACGTGCTTATTTAAAATCGCCTGATGCGGCGCGACTGCCGGTTGCAGCTCTTGCACGTAAATTTTCTTGCACAATGACTTCGCGATTTCTGCCGTCGAAATTTTCTATGTACCCGCAATCACGTGTAAAAACTTACAGGCTCACCTGACACTCTGGATGCTGCTGGAAATTTTCCTCGAGACTAATTTGTCACTCACGTACCCTTGCACTTCCGATTTGCTGCCATGAAGGCCCAATATTCAGCATGCATATAACTGAAGGCTTATAAAGGAGTTGCTGGAGGCACCCAGGGCCTGACCATGGATGTATAAATTCAAGACGCAGAGGATGGCCGCTCCCAAGTACCGAAAAAGTACTCCCTAGGCGCACACCGTACACGCGCCCAGTTGCCGGCAAAATTCTGCTGGTGTAGGAACTGGTGTTGCTTCGCTCACTCTCTTCTGCGGGATGGTTTCGCTTCAACCTGGACAGGTGCTTTCGACAGTTCAGCTGGTGCCGCCAAGGAATTGTTTGCTGCTTGGCTTTGCCTAAAATTAGAGCTCCGAGAATTGCAACTATCAAGCAACTATCGCCGGAAAAAGGAAAGAATGTGCTCAAGATTCTTTGCACGTAAGAAATTTTGTCAGCATGTAAAAAGTGAAACGTCAAATGTCAGCTGAGTGGGAGGTGTTCGGAAGAGGTGGCGCATGGTCGCATTTGCGCTGGCCAAATTTGCTTTAAATCAGTGTGACCGCAACACCCTCTAAGAGCCTCTTTGAGCGGAACATTAAAAAAACAAGTAAGAAAGTCTAGGTTCGAGCGGACCCGATTATTTAATACCCGGCGCAAGTATTAAGTATATGTTTCCCACATTTGCGAGAACTACCGCTTCTTGGTAAGCCGGGTTGGTTTTACCCCTATTTTAAACATCTTCTATAGAACGTTCAGTTAGACATAATGTGATAAACGTATATATCAGCCGTGCTCCCATTTTCAGAATCGCAAATATTTTGCGTTTTACTTTTCAAATCGCAAAATTACGTGCTCCAATACTCGCAAATCGGAAAATTTTTGAGGTTTCAAATCGGTTGCCGATGAGACGGTGGAATGAAAAATAAATGGCAAAATTAACATAAATAACAAGCTAGCTTAGTTCACATTTATTTTTGATTGTGCCCATTATATTTTGCGATATTTTTAACGTCCTAAAATTAACTTTTTATGTTGATTTTATTTGTTTAATTCACTATTTATTATACACATCTCCGTTTTGGGCAACGAAAATTTATCGAAGCAACGAAGATTTACGATTTGGTGCGGACGATACATGTGCGA